GGTACAAAATTTAAAGGGCTTGTGAAAAAACTTAGTAATCAAGATAAGTAATTTTTTTTTAAATCTAAAATTAATGCAAAAAAAAAAATCCATGATGAACAAAATATCAAAGTCTTAAATAAAGACAGGACCTAACCCTGCATTTGCACATCTTGGCCTCACTCACTTTATCCTAGTCTTGGACCTGTGATGTAACACTGGCTTCTAGACATCTCTGCAAGCCTCCATATTTTCTCAACTGTGAGTACAGCATCTTGAGGACTTGTTCAAGGAGGTAGTGTTCTCCATGCTCCCTGACTTCCCAGGGGACAAACAATGCCTCCTTGTGCAGTCAGAAGACATTATTCAAGTCAGACTTCTCTAGTCTACAAGGAGAATAACCCATGTGGCTAAGCTGAATGTCCTCCTGGTCAACTAAGAAGAGGTCTAAGTCCACATTGCAATCCAACCAATGTTGCATCAGTAACTGAACTTCCTTAATACAGACTTACCACCCTCCTGTATTTATTTCTTTCCCACTCAACATCTATCCATCCATCCTTCCACACCCGCCCATCCATCCTTCCACCCACTCACCATCCATCCACCCATCCACTCGCCTATCCATTCATCTTTCTACTCAACTATCCACCTATCCATCTACCCAACCATCTGTCCATCTTTCCACCCAGCTATTCATCCACCTTTCCATCCACCCATCCACCCACCCATCCATCCACCGACCCATTCATCCACCAACCCATCTTCCCATCCATCCTTGCATCCTTCCACCCATCTATCCATCTTGCCATCAATCATCAATTTAGTCATTCAGCCATAAAGCGATTTTCCATCTACCCATCCACTCTTCCTTCTGTCCATTCATCCATACTTGCATCTATATATGCATCCCCTACAGACAGCCATCCACTCAACCACTTAATCAACCCTCTACTATGTAAAATCAACACAGGGTGTGAAAAGAGTTCCACCACTTAGCAGCAGGCCCACTTCTTTAAGTTTCAGTTCCTTCATCTGGAAAGTGAGTATGCTTATGCTCATTAAGAACGTTTACAGGGTTGCTATGAGCATTAAATAACAAAATTCATGTAAATGGAAACTATTATATTGTTATTTTTATTGCAATTATTATTATTATGAGATGCTAGGGGTGGAGTGCAGAAATAAATCTGGTGAAGGGCCTAGCTTGTCTGCTAAGATGTTAATTCAGACTGGTGATCTGAAAACCACTTCAACCTGTACTTAACAGTTGGGGAGATGGACAGAGGTCTGATGAGGGTATGGTGGTGGGAGAGCAGCAGATCTGGCCTAAAGAAAATGGATAGACAGAGGTGGGGTAGGTAACAATCACTAGAGCAGCCATGACTAAGGCATTCTGCATACAGACTTTGGTTGTGAATTCAGGAACTGTGGTTGTTTGAGTATCTGGCTCCTGCTGACGTCCCAGAGAATTCTGGGGCCTGGAAGTTTAGGAAGGCAGGCAGGCCTCTCGACTCACCTTCATTCATCCTCTCCCCTGGGGCAGAAATCCACGTTTTTGGAGTAGAACTCTGGACTCAGTTAGCCAGAGGTTCAAATCCCAGCTCTCTTACTTATTAGCTGCATGGCCTTAGGCAATTTACTTAAATGCCTCAATCATCTCATCTATGCAATGGGGATGAATAGTGAGGATTAACAGTTTATTCATGTAAAGCATTTGTAACAGGGTCTAATACATCTCTACAGGGGGCATGGAGCATACATCTCTACTCCTGAGCATGAAGGCTGAGCCCAGCTCTTCTCTTAATCTCCCAGGCCCTAAAAGTACATAAAGTACATGTTCAACAGAATCTCCAACCACATCCAACCCTCTGTCACCAAAGCACCTGCCAGGCATGTATATTAGTTTTGTATTGCTGTGTAACTAATTACTATAAACTTAGAGGCATAAAACAACACAAATTTATTATCTCACATTTCTATAGATCCAAGTGGACTTAGATAGCTCCTCTGTTCCAGATCTTACAAGGCTGAAATCAAGGTATTGGCCAGGCTACATTCCTTTCTAGAGGCTGTGGGGATGAATCAGCTCCCAGGATCATTCAGGTTGTTGGAGAATCCAGTTCCATGCAATTGTAGGACTGAGGTCCCCATTTCCTTGCTGGCTGTTGACCGGGGTCATTCCAAGCTTCTAGAGGCTTTCCACGTTTCTTGACTGATGGCCTCCTTCAAAGCCACCAAGAGTGGGTAGTCCTTCTCACTCATTAAATCTCTCTGACTTCCCCTCTGCCTCAACCTTCTCTGAGTTCCCCTTCAGCCACATCTCTCTGAGTCTTCATCTTCCTCTTCTGCTTTAAGGGGCCCACGTGATTACATTAAGAAGCCCTGGTGCCGCAGTGGTTAAGTACTCGGCTGCTAACCAAAATGTCGGCAGTTTGAACACACCAGCTGCTCCGCAGAAGAAAGATGCGGCAGTCTGCTTCTGCAAAGATTACAGCCTTGGAAACCCTATGGGGCAGTTTTATTGTGTCCTATAGGGTCACTATGAGTTAGAATCAACTCAACAGCAACAGCTTTGGTCTGGTTTTTTGGTGATTACATTGGGCCCTTCAGATACCCCAGGATTGTCCCACTTTAAAGTCACATGATTCGAAACCTTAATTCCATCTGCAAAATCCCTTCACAGCAGTACCTGGATTAGTGTTTGATTGAATAACCAGGAGACAAGAATCTTTAGAGTTCTGTCCCCTACACCTGGCACAGCCTCGGCTCTGCCGCCAGCACAGTCCTCAACCTCACCTCTGTGGGAGTACCGAGGTCCAGAATTACGGAGGAGAAGCGCTCTGGATCTGTGGTAGAACTTAACCGAGGCACTGGTCTCCTACTGACCAGGTCGGTACCCTCCCCACCTCACCATCCCATCTCAGGCTCTCTGGAACGATCCATGAAGGAGGGTCACTGGAGACCTAGCACAGGGAGCAGATCTGGGGCCTGAGGTCTAATAGGCAGGGCCATCGGTCCTGCTGCTCTGAAGGCACCTGGGGTGGGCAGAGGGGTGTGATGGTCCCAGAGCACCTGAAGGGTAAGACACCTAGAGATGGAGGAAACCTTTATCCCAAAGCCAGTGATTTACTTTCCAAATAGCAGCCATGTAGAGTCTTTTCTACATGTTATCAGCAGGGATCAGTCCCTGGAGAAGGACATCATGCTTGGTAAAGTAGAAGGTCAGTGATAAAGAGGAAGACTCTCAACCAGATGGATTGACACAGTGGCTGCAACAATGGGCTGAAGCATAACCATGAGCATGAGGATGGTGCAGGACCAGGCAGTTTCAGTCTGTCGTACAGAGCGTCGCTGTGAGTCAGAATCGACTCGATGGCACCTAACAACAACAACAGGGTCTCTTCTGAGACATCTGCCTTAAAGCACAGATGAGACGGTCACACCCAGAGGGGCATCCAGACAGCGGCAGATTCAGAAACTGATAAAGATCTGCTTGATCTGAAAATAGTATCCACTGGGCCGCCCCAGCACCCACAGGCTGCGCTGAATGCACAACACTGCACAAAAAGGCTGTTTACGTTCAGACTCCTGAGCCCGACCCAGACCCACTAAGCAGCCCTGGCGGTGCAACGGTTCAGTGCTTGGCTGCTAACGGAAAGGTTGGTTGACAGTTCAAACCCACCCAGCAGCTCTGCCAGAGAAAGACCTGGCAATCTGCTTCCGTAGCCAAAAAAATCCTATGAGGCAGTTCTACTCTGTCTCATGGGGTTGCTATCAGTCAGAATCGACTCCACAGCACCCAACAACAACACCCAGACCCACTAGGTCAAACCCCAGGAGAGCACTCCAGGAATCTGCTCCCCCAGTTGCCGTCAAGGCAGAGCCTAGGCTGAGAACTTCTGGGAAGAAAACCCAGGTCCGAAGGAGGACTTGAGAGACGTCTGGATTCTGACCTGAAACCCACGGGCCTGCTGTAACCACACTAAAATGCTCTGGGCTGCAGTAGAGCAGAATGAACGCCAGAAGTAGGTCAAAGCTGGGTTCAGACCCCCTCCACACACTGGGAAAGTTACTCTTGAAGCCTCAGTTTCCCCGTTTGTAAAATGGGGGCCAACAGCATGCCACCTTGCAGGGTGATAATGTAAGGGAAGAACCCAGCCCCACCCTGGGTGCCCGACACACTCTCCCTCTTACCCGATGCAGTCCCAGAAACGTTTTTCCTTAGTTTGAAATGGTCATTGTTTTATTTGTTTCTCTCACACTCAGACCCTTCCTTACATCTCATCTTCCTCCTTTCTTCAGTAGAGGAAATGGCCCTGCAGCTGCTAATGTAGCTTTCCCAGCAGAAAGACTAAAATGCCTGGGGGCAGGAGAGGGGAGCTCGTAAAGATGAGCTGTCTAGTACTTCTAGCTGTAAATTCATCCCAAGGCAGAAGGGACAAGCAGTGGAGTGCAGTTAGTGGGGAGAGGGAGATGGGGCTCTGGGGATAAGGACGAGGAGTGAGATGGGGCTCTGGGGGCGGAGACAGGCAAGGAGATGGAGTGTCTAGGAGGTGAGAGCAGACAGGAAGAGGGGGTCTCTGAGCGTAGGAACAGGGAGGGAGATGAGGGATCTGGGGGTGGGGCAGGCAGGGACACAGGGGCTCTAAGGGTAGGGACAGACAGGGAGGTCAGGCTGCGACTTCCCCCCGGCCACCGCCGCCCGTCGGTGCCAGCCAGTGGGAGCAGAGGAAAGACTCCCCAAGACCCGGCAGTCCAACACTTCTTCCTTCCAGAGAAGGAGAGAGGCGAATGCTGTGGCCAGGGCGGAAAGGGGCCGGCGAGAAAGGGGGCGAGGAGGAGTCAGCAGAGACCAGGCGGGTCGGGATCCCCGACCCTCCGGCGACCCGGGCACCGAGGTCGCGTCCTGCGGTGTCCAGGAGCCTGGGGCGCTGCGCCAAGGGCGTAGGGCGGTCCGTTGCCAGGTGGCCGTCCCGCCCCGCCGCCTCGCCCCGCCTCCCGCCTCCCGCCTCCCGCCTCCAGGTCGCCACTTTGGACCGCCGCCTCCGCCAGCCCTCCGAGCCTGTGCCGCCGCCGCCGCCGCCGCGATGTGGGCTATCCTGCCGCTACTCTGCGCTGGGGCTTGGTTCCTGGGACCCGCCACCAGCGACGCCGCCGCCCTGTCCGTGAGCTCCTACGGTACGGGAAAGGGGTTTCGGAGGCGCGGGCCAGGCTCCTGGGAGGGCCTCCAGAAGGGGCCGCGCGGGTCTGAGGCTTGGAACTTGGGACAGCTTGGCGGAGGTGGGAGCCCCGGGCTCAGGAGGAAGGCGGGGGGCGGGGGGGAGGAGAGCAGGGCTTTTCCCAGTCCGAGGCTCAGGGGCTCTGCTTGCTAGGATGGGGAGGGGTCTCCAGCCCAGAGACTGAAGGGGCATGTCTTGCAGGGCAAGAAGAGGAGATGAGCTGGGTTTCAAGGGTCCCACTTGCCCAGGTGGCTCCAGAGCCTAGATTACCGAAGAAACTCGCACCCCTTCTGCCCTCCCCCTCCCAACTTGACATAGAAGACTCTGCTCTGCCCCCATCAGAGGCGAGCAGGGACTTCCCAGCGTTTTCTTTCAGCATCCCCGGGGACTTGGCACATAGGGGATCCCCATAGTGGCCTTGAGAGTCCGTCTGTAGAATGGGTTCCACATGACTTCCTGTGGCCGTAGACCAACAGCCCCTGACAACTGAGGGTGCTTCAAGGACCCCTGGTGTCAGGTCAAGCCTCAGGACTCATCCTTCCAGGCCGGTGGACTGTGACTGGTCCAGCTTCATGCTGCTCTTGCAGCCTTCTCTGCTGCTGGGCCTCCAGACACGCACCCAGGCCGCAGGCAAAGAGCCTGCTTTCCCAGCCCCGCTCCTTTCCTGCTGCCCCAGCCCCAGCCCACAACTTACAGGCTGTGGAGCTTCCACCTTCCTCCTCACCCTGGGGAAGAGAAGGGTAGCCAAGGAACAACCCCGGGCTGAGGCAAAGCCGCTGAGGCTGAATTTTGTCTTGCCTCATTCCTTCCCACCCATTTATGAAATAAAGCACCCCAAGCCTTGAAGCCACCAAGGACTCCCACTCCAGGTCAGCCCAACCAGATGCTGTCCAGTCACTTCCAACTCATGGCGACCACAGAGTAGAACTGTGCTCCACAGGGTTTTCATGGCTGTGACCTTTTGGAAGCAGATCACCAGGCTTTTCTTCTGAGGCACCTCTGGATGGGTTCAAACCACCAACCTTTTGGTTAGTAACCCAGCGAAGGAAACCCCAGCTACATCCAAGCAAAAGCTCTGCTTTAGCCTGACAGTGCTGCTGGCGTCAAGCAGGCCAGTGCTGAAAAGTTGTCTTAACTTTAGAGTAGGGGTCAGCAGTCTTTCACCAGATAGTAAATATTTCAGGCTTTGTGGGCGGTACAGTCTCTGTGACAACTACTCAACTCTGTCATTGTGCATGAGGAAATCAGCCATAGATGGTATGCAAATGACATGTGGCTGTGTGCCATTAAGCCTTTATTACAGACCCTAAAGTTTGAATTGCATTTCATTTTTATGTGTCACAAAATATTGTTCCCTTTTGATTTTCCTCCCAAGTATTTCAAAGTGTGAAAGCCATTCTTAGCTCTCAGGCCGCAGTTTGCTGGCGCCTGCTCTAGATACTCCCAACAGTGCCCACCAGGCAGAGCACACTAAAGCTACTTCTTCAAAAAGTCATAACTGGGTTGAAATGGATCCATTTGAGGTTGGGGCGTGGGAAGTCTGATGCCGCACCAGCAGATACAGTGAAAACTGTGAGAGCCGAAACTCGGCAGGACTACCTTGTTTTTCCAGGTCTCACAAGTTTTCCGCCTTTGACAGGGTGCAGTCTTACCACTTTTTTGTCGCTATTAGTGAAAAATATTTGAGTTTACCTTGTCTGACAGGTTTCTGCCTTACACAGGTTCCAGCTTTCGCAGGTTTTACTGTATATGCATTTTTCCCAGGGAAGGTGGCTATAGTTCTCATGAGTTTCTGGAACATGTTCCAGAAAGAGTTCTAAATGCTATACAGCTGTTGATGTTAGTTGCCATCGAGTCAATTCCGACTCATGTATGCAGAGTAAAACTGCACTCAGGAGGGCTTTCAAGGCGGTGACCTTTCAGAAGCAGATCGCCAGGCCTTATTTTCGAGGCACCTCTGGGTGGCTTTGAACCGCCAACCTTTCAGTTAATAGCGAGCACTTAACCATTTGCGCCACCCAGGGACTCCTACTATATAGCAATGGTCTTCAGAGTGGGGGATCCCTGGGGGACCACGCAGACATTCTAAGTGGTACAGGCTTAGATAGCGTTAAGGGAATATGTTCGTGACCCTTTCCTTTCAAATGTCCTCTCTGTGAATACTGATCTGCTGGAGAAAGCGCCAGACGGCAGGGGGGCCCTTTCCTCTCATTCATCCTGAATCAGAATTGACATTGCCTGACATCATGGCAGCAAACAAAAGGACAATTGGTAATAAATCCTTCTTCAAGTCTGGTATTTCCAGTTCTGCAGTGAAACTGACATTGAAGGAGAGAGGACCTCATCAAGGTATCAGGTGATGGGATCTAAACATAATTTTGGATGACAGAGCACCATGTGATTTTGGACATCGGAAGGAATACAAGGAATTGAGTGACACTGCTCTAAAAATCTGCCTTCCATTCCCAGTGGCTCATCTGAGCAGGATTTCTCAGCCCACGGATCTATAAAAACCAAAGCTAGGAGCAAAATGAATGCTGAACCTTGTCTCATTCAAGCAGTTGGTAGTATTCACCTATCAATACATTTATCCCATTAAGAGATGCATTTCCAATACAATTTTACTTTTTATGCCTAGTAATTATTTTTCATAATATATATTTAAAAAAAACCATTACTGTCAAATTGGTTCTGACTCCTAGCGACCCTACAGGACAGAGAAGAACCGCCCCACAGGCTTTCCAGGGCTGTAATCTTTACAGAAGCAGACTGCCACATCTTTCTCCTGAGGAGCAGCTGCTGGGTTCGAACCCCCGACCTTTCAGTTAAGCAGCTGAACACTTAACTAACTGTGCCACCAGGGTTCCTTTCATAATACATAGTATATTCTAAATATTTTGCTCAGTTGGTGTACTACTTATGATTGCTCAAGTAAGAATAATTTTTTTTTTTGTAATATACAAAGACATGGTTCACAAGAAATAAAAATAATTTAAATTTATACATTTTATTGTTGCTGTTGTAGAAAAGTATGTTAGGATGATCGAATATAAAAATATGCTCCCTGTCTTAGTCATCTAGTGCTGCTCTAACAGAAATACCACGAGTGGATGGCTTTTAACAAGAGAAATTTATTTTCTCATAGTCCAGTAGGCTACAAGTCCAAACTCAGGGCATCAGCTCTAGGAGAAGGCTCTCTCTCTCTGTTGGCTCTGGAGGAAGGTCCTTGTGATGCATCAGTCTTCTCTTGGTCTGGGAGCATCTCGGCGCAGGAACCTCAGGTCCAAAGGATGCACTCTACTCCTGGCATTGCTTTCTTGGTGGTGTGAAGTTCCCATGTGTCTCTGCTCACTTCTCTCTTTTATATCTCAAAAGAGATTGGATTAAGACACTATCCAATCTTGTAAACCTCATCAGTATAACCTCATCACAGTGATAGAATTTACAACACATAAGGAGATCACACATAACCTCATCACAGTGATAGAGTTTACAACACATAAGGAAATCACATCAGATTACACAATCATACAATACTGGGAATCATGACCCAGCCAAGCTGACAGATATTTTAGGGGGACACAATTCAATCCATGACACTCCCTTAGGATAAAATTCTGTGCAATGAGGATGCAGATAGGGTTCAAGGAGAAAAAGAAACTGTAAAATATCCAACTCTTAAAGAAGGTAGTGTTCATGTTATTGATGGAGCCCTGGTGGCACAGTGGTTAAGAGCTCAGGCTGCTAACCAGAAGGTCAGCAGTTCAAATCCACCAGCCACTGCTTAGAAATCTTATGGGGAAGTTCTACTAAAAGAAAAAAAGTCATTGATAGTGGTTATCAAATCATTATAGTATTTAGATTCCATTAGCTAACTCCTTTTTTTTTTTTTAATGTAGTAAATATATAGGTAACAAGACATTTGCCATTTCTACAATGCATTGGCTAGCTTTAATAGAATGATATAACAATCATTTTTAAATGCATTATTTTCAATAGTATATATTGTCAACATTTACAATAAGCTGGAATACATTGTTCACAGTTATTTAAACTTAAAATGAAAGTTTTAGATAACTTAAAAATGTACAAGGGGCTATTTGAGGGGCTGCAATCACCTGGCCACCCTGTTTTTTTAAATAGCGTTTTATTGGAACACAGTCCCGTCCATTGGTTTTCTGCCTTGTCTGTGGCTGCTTTTGCACTACGACAGTTGAGTAGTTATGAGAGAGACCAGTTGGACTGTAAAACCTAAAATAGTTACTTTCTGTCCCTTTAAGAAACCGTTTGCTTACCCCTGGGTATATAGATTTTTTTTATTAATATCTTATTGAAATACAACATCATACAGAGAAGTACACAAACTGTAAGCATGCATTTCGATGAATTTTCAGTCTAAACACACTCCTATAACCAGCACCAGGTTGAAGAAATAGAACATTACCAGCACCCCCAGAAGCCTCCTCTTTGCCGCCATTAAGGAAAACTGCTGCCCTGAGTTATAACCCCATAGGTTAATGGTATAAAAAAAATTTTTAAAAACAGTTGCCATGAGCTGATGCTGACTCATGGTGACCCCATGTGTTTCAGAATAGAACTGTGCTCCACTGGGTTTTCAATGGCTGATTTTTTGGACGTAGATTGCCAGGGCTTTCTTCCAAGGCACCTTTGGGTAGACTCAAACCTCCAACCTTTCAGTTAGCAGCCCAGTGCATTAATCATTTGTGTCAACCAGGGACACCTAATGGTATGCAGTTTTTCAAAATCAATTTGGATATAAAAGAAAAAGTGTGAGTTTCTTTTTGCACCCAACATTAAACAGCAACACCATGTTTGATGTTCTAAATTTACCTTTTTTACCCAAAATGCAGATCAGGTCTAAAGCACCTACTTATCTATAGACTCATGTTAGTGGGAGGCACACAACCTAATTCTTTTCTTCTTTTTGCAGAGAAGTTTCACTTTCAGTCATGGATGGCACAGGTCAGTTCCAACTTCTTCTTTTTCAAGTTATACATTTCACAAGTTTCCTGTTATCAAATCAAACTGTATCAGATTTAAGACAGTAAAGAGGGCTTTTTCCGCCTAGCTCCCCTGGGAATTGTCAAAACACTGAGAAAGATACAATTAACTCCTCCCAAACGCTGGTTCCCAGTGACATGCATGAAAGTTGGCTGGCATCCTTTCAACCCTTAGAATTCATTTTCTTGTTTGGTTTTCAAATCACATTCTTTGCTGATTGCAAAATCAAGTGGAGTACACTGGTACTTGTACTTTTGAAAAATGGTGATTTTTGCCATAAACTCGGCCCAGGGGCTGGGCACTTGGCAGGCCTCTTCACCAGGGCCTCTGGGACTGTCAGCTGACTTCCAGGCAGCCACCAGCACCATTCTGGCCGCAGGTCCCCGGAGGCAGGGGCTTGCTTTGCCCTTCACAGGCGAGACCCAGAACCTTGTCCCACCCACTTGCACAGACATGGCCAGACACTCGGAGCAGAAAGAAAGCCTCCATCCCTCCTCTAAGAAAACAACTCCCTCCCGTGAGCTGCATCCTGTCGCTGTGACTTATTGCTGATATGTTCTGTTTCAGCACCAAAAGAAATACAGCTCGGAGGAGTACCCCCAAAGGCAGCAGACGTTTGTCAGGAACTGGAGGAAGATCAACGCCCACAACACTAGGAACCACACGTACAAAAGTACTGTGGTGGCGCCTTTCGTCCGGGCTTCTCGGGACTTGGGAGGAGGGAGTAACTTAGATCTGGAAAGAAATCCATTAGTGATGCTTGCTGATTAAAGGGTTCACCGGGGACTTTGGGGTGGAGGGGGCAGAAACCCAGACTCTGAAGCTGTCCTTGGCTGACCTCAATGTCTGGCTGTTATTATTCAATGTGTGACACAGGGTTGTCAATTTAGGTCAACGCTGATGCACTTCCTGGTGGTTGTAAGGTTTACAAAACTGTGTAGAAGCCCCTGCCCTGTTCCTGCCATTTAAGGGGGGAGCCCGGATGCTAGCTTTGCCCTTAGATTGCTGCATTTGTGAGCAGCCTCTTGGAACATCTACCTTCACTAGAAACACACACGTATCCAAGATTTTTACTGAGGATGCTGAGAAATGATGGCAGTTCTAAGTTGGTAATATGGGCAACAAGCATAACCTGGGATGAAACCTGGGTTTGAATTTCATTTCTGCCTGTGTTAGCTGTGTGGCCTTGCTGTTGTTGCTGTGTGCCGGGGATGCTCTTCCCTGAAGGACCTGGTGCCCTGAGGAGTGATGGACAAGGGGGATTGAGTCGATTCCGACTCGTAGTGACCCAGCTGCTCGTAGCAACACTTTATGACAGAGTAGTACTGCCCCGTAGGGTTTTCTGCTTTACGGGAGCAAATTGCCAGGTCTTTTCTCCTAGGAGCGGCTGATGGGTTCAAACCGCCAACCTTTCAGTTAGCAGCCGAGTGCTTAACCATTGCACCACCAGGGCTTCTTTGTGTGATCTTAGGGCAGTTAATACACCTGAAGCTTTACTGACCCGTAAAGTGGGATAATACCCTCTCGCTGGGGTGTTAGGAAGACTGAATGTGGTATCATGTGGGAAGGCACTTGGCGCAGGTGTAGTGGTTCTGCACCTGGATATCCACTGGACTCACCAGCAGGGCTTCTGAAGAAATGGGTGCCCAAGTCCCACTCTAGACTGCATCGCCTCTCTGGGGTGCAGCCCAGACACCTGTACTGTTCAAAAGCTCCCCAGACGATGCTGATGCACAGTAAGGGTTGCCAGCTACCAAATTCGTCTGGAATTGTAGGACCTTGGAATGTGAAATTTTAAAAAAAGATTTAACAGAGCCAAGTTGCAGCGACTACAAAGAGGACACGGGGTAATAAGGGGGTTCATCATTTTTTTCTGTGTTTATTAGTGATGCACTAAGATCAACTAACTAACTATAAACCCTGGTTTGGGTTTTTGCTCTTTTCAGTGGCATTGAACCAATTTTCAGACATGACCTTTGATGAAATAAAACAAAAGTATCTTTGGTCGGAGCCTCAGGTAGGTGTTGCCCATTGTGACCAAATCTGAAGCTTTTCACTCACATGTTCGGAATAAGTTTGCAACCTGCTCTGCCTCCAGTCAGATTCAGTCCCATCTCCAGCCACAGGGGAAGTCTCCAAGTTTCTTTGGGGAGCCAAAAGAGAGGTTGGCTCCCAGCAGAGTCCCTCAGTCCAGGCCCATGGCCTCAGGAATGTGGACCTCTAACCTAGAGTTGCCAAATAAAATACAGAGACTTGGTTAAAATTTTAGTTTAAGTACATCCCAAATATTGCATGGGACATAGTTACATGAAAAATAATTCGTTATCTGAAATTCCATTTTAACTGGGTGTTACGGATTGAATTATGTCCCCCAAAAATATGTGTGGTAAATCCTAACCTCTATGCCTGTGGTTATGATCCCATTTGGGAATGGGTTGTCTTTGTTATGTTAATAAGGCAGGATTCCTGTAGGGTATATCTTGAGTCAGTCTCTTTTGAGATATAAAAGAGATTAAACAAGCAAGTGAGAGAAGCAGAGATGGGGGAAGAGAGATGTCAAGCCACATGAAGATTGCCAAGGAGCAGAAGCTCAGAAGAGATAAGGAGTTTCCTTTAGAGCCGACAAAGAGAGAAGGCCTTCCCCTAGAGCCAGCACCCCGAGTTTGGTCTTCTAACCCTAAATTCCCGGATCTGGGCTCTCAAGGGGACAGATCGTTCAGCATCAGGGACTGGTAGATAGGGAGGATGGTTCTGACACCTGCAATCTTTCTCATTCTCTTTCTTGGTGATTCTGTTTTGTTTTCACTTGACTTTTATAATTTATTTGATTTTATTTTTACTATTGTTTATTAGTGATTCCATTTTAATTACACGGGTTTTTGTGTTTTGTTTTGTTTTTTTATCAAAGTTGTCTTTTTTTTTTCCTTAAAAGATGTATTTGGTTGTTTCAGAATTGCTCAGCCACCAAAGGTAACTACCTTCGGGGTACTGGTCCCTACCCACCCTTTGTGGACTGGCGGAAAAAAGGACACTTTGTGTCACCAGTGAAAAACCAGGTATGCATGGCCATCCCCACCCCTTCCCAAAAAATAGCCACATTCTCAGACAAAATATTGGAAAGAAAAACTCAAAAGAACCACAAAATCACCTGAAGCAGATCCCCAACTCTATTTTCCTCATGTCTCCAGCCTTCTTCCTCTGAGAGGCCAGGGAAGTCATTACTTCTTTGGGCTGCTCCAAAGGATGAAAAGCTCTTCTTTATTGGGCTGAAGTTCACCAGCCCCCAATTTTCCCCATTGTAGGTTTGCCCTGCAGCATTACCCAAAACATTATGTTCCCTGCACCCTTCAGAGATGGGACATCAGGGCCCCATCCCTAGCACCCATGCATCTCCTCCTCCCACCCCCCTTGTCCTCCATCACTCCTCAGGGCACCAGCTCCTCCAGGGAAAAGTGTCCCCTGCAAGGCACAGTGGACTTGGCAGGGGGACTGGCAGTCCCTCTCTGCTCACCCTGAGAGCTGAGGACTCAGCCATTTGTGGGGGTTCCAGCAAGTTCAGGAGAGTCTGGACCCCACTCCCTGCTGTTCCCTCTGCCTGCTGCGGCCCATCCCCTGGAAGTAAGGTGTGGTGGGCTCCTTCAGAAAGATGCTGACCTCTCAGTTCCAGAAAATACACAGTTAATACTTCCTTCCTGGAAACATTTGCTTTTCACTGAAACTCCCCATGAGAACCCTTTTTTCTCTTTCCTAAAAGTCATGTGGCACAGCTTCAAATCCTCCAGGCTCAGTGTGTTCACAGAGCTGCAAGTGTTCTAGACTTTTAAACCCTGGAGCTAAAACGAGCCTCCCCTCTCAGCAGCAGATTGGTGGAAAGAAGCTAATTTTCGGACTCTCTGAGAATCACATGACAATTCAAGCCAATAAACCTTAAGAGCAGACACTTAAACCTGGTCGCTATTTGTGCCAGTGAGAAGGGGAGGCCTACCAGGAATTTTCCAAGTTCTCATTTTAACGGTTCCTGGGCCATCCGACAGGACCTGGGCTAAGAGGGTGGGAACGAGATGGCTAGCCTCCTAGGTGTGTCGTATCTGACTGTGGCCACTGTGGTTACAAATGGCAGTGACAGTATCTAACATTAGCTCAGCAGCCCTTTGAGGATTTCTCAGTTTACAGAGGAGGAAACTGAGAGGGACAGTGGCTTTGGCCAAGGTCCACAGTAAGCAAGTGACAGAGGGGACTCAAAACCAGGTATCTCTGATGAACTTAGTACATCTTGTAATCCAGTGTATCTCATACCACAAGGTCAGAAAATAATATACGGACACTCAAGGACCGCCTGCCTAGATTAAATAAATGCTAACATTTTGCCATAGTTGATTCACACAAAATGAAATAAAACATAATAAATTAAAAAAAAAAAAAACAGGTCTGTGCTCCAGTCCTGTGCCCAAGGCTCAGCCCTGCTTTGCCTCCTTCGATAGCGTGTGGTGGCTCCTGTCGTGGCCAGGACCACCTCCTTGACTGTCTTGGAGAGCCTCAGACTAAGGTCTTCCCTTCCCTGCTGAGGGAAGGATTTGAGAGGAAGAGACAGGAGAGGGAGGCCTGGATGAAGAGCCTTTCTAGAGAGACTAAACTGGGGTGATGAAATGGACAGAAAAGGGGAGCTTTAAGAGACATTTCAGAGGTAGAATGTGGAGGATTGAGCCAGTGAGGGGAGACAAAGAGACAAATATGGAGGCCTGAGAGAAAAATAATATCAGCAAGTAACATTATTGAGCCCACTGCATTAACTGCTTGACAGGCCTGATCTTATCGAATCCTGCTAACTGCCTTCTGAAGTAGGTTCAGTTGTCATTCCATTTTTACAAATGATAAAACTGGGTCTTAGAGAGGGGAAGTAAGTTGCCCCGGTCACACAGCTGGTGTGAGGCAGAGCTGTGATTTGAACCAGGCAGTCAGCCTCCAACACCAACTCCGAACCCTCATGTCCTGGAAGTGCCATGAGTCAGGAGGCTGGGCAGCGGCAGTAACTGTAGCAGAAGATGGTGAGGTGGATGGATAGGGCAGGACCGGTGGGGTCTGAGGTGTCTGAGGCACCCAGGTGGGGTCTGTCTGGGAGTAAGTTGGATGACTGGGCCTGGGTGGAGGTCAGGGCTGAGGCGAGAGTTTGGGAGAGTTGTTAGTTTAACAATTAGAACTATGGGTGAAAATTAGATTGGTGATGGAGAGGTGAGAGACAAGGTTCTAGAGACAGAACTTTGGTGAATCCTTTGGCTAGGAAACAGCGGGTAGAAGAGAAACCAGAAAAAAGATTCAGAAGTAGGAGAGTTAGAATACCATGGAATGTGGTCAGGAGTGGCTCCAGGACCTCACGAGATGGTGGGGGTTGTTTGAGAAGAGGCCAGGATTGGGTGTCCACAGGCACCAGTCGGAGGCTGCTCCTGCTCTCATGCCACCCTCAGCTGCCTCATCTGTAACATGGGGAGAAGGACACCTGCCTCTCAGGCCTCATGGGAGCCACAGTGGAGCAGTCTGGAGCAGGGCTTTGTCAACCGTAAAGGCATTTGGGAGCCTTGGGGGTTCTCGAAGGGTCAGCAGAGGAAGTCAGAAGGCAGGGGTTGTCCCCTGCATCCCAGTCACTGACTCCCCCTGCCCCTACCTCTCCAGGGTGCCTGCGGCAGTTGCTGGACTTTCTCCACCACAGGGGCTCTGGAGTCTGCGATCGCCATAGCCAGTGGGAAGCTGCTCTCTTTGGTAAGAAGTCAACCGCTGGCTCACCTCCTGCAGAGGTCCCACATTGCCCCAAGGCATGACAGTAGGCCCAGGAGTGGGCTTCAGTGTCCTCTAGGGCTTCAGCTAACAATGCTGTTCCGGTTGTACACCAAGTGACCCAGCCGCATGGACATTTGGAATGAGAGTCCTGACTGACACTTTCCCTGGAAAAAAATGCAGGTTATTGAGGAAACAGCCCAGAGGCTCATTCCTGGGTGGATCTGGGTGTTCCTCAGTGTGATACCTTGGGGCCGTTACCAAGGAGGGGGTCAGAAAAGCAGGGCCTGCCCGGGAGACGGTCCTCTAGGAGCTATGCCCCTTCCCAAGCTGCCTCAGTTGTTTTCACAGAGGGAAGAGCTGGAAGCTATGAATCCATCCCCTGGACCCACCAGAGTAAGGGGTGAGGGACTAGAGGAAGTGCCCCAGCCCTTGCTTCTGCCTGTGTGTAGGGACGAGGGAGTGTATGGGGCAAGGTTGGCAAGGGTCAGGAAGGCCCCGGCTTGAGGACAGGTGGAACGGGGTCTCGGGCTAGGCCGGTCCTCTCCCTCAGGACTCCATGCAGTTCACACCTGCAGGTTCACTCACGTTTCTCACCTGCCTGCTGGCCGCCAGGTAGGTACTGAGCCCCTCCCAGCATGTGCCAGCTGGGTCTGACACTCCAGAACATTCTGTGACAGTCCTTGCCCTTGAGGAACTTGTAATTGGGTCATCCTGACACAGCACTGATTTAGCCAGAGGTGTGGATCAGCAAGGGGGCTCAGCGTCTTGTACTAACACCTGACACCCTCCCAGCTTCCAACTCATGGGGTTTGTGTTCACTTCTACAGTCAGAACAGCAGCTGGTGGACTGCGCCAAGGACTTCAATAATCACGGCTGCCAAGGGTACGTCCCTGACCAGGAGGGTCCCAAGCCCCTTCTTATTTCCAGTTGGTCACTTCTAGTTGCACTTTGGTTTCCCGATGAAAGAAGGAAGCTTACATTTATCTTGTGTTTGCTGGGCACTGCCACAGACATGACCCTGCTCAGTGCCCTTGACAGTGGCAACATTATCTTCCTTTACAGAGAAGGAGGTCACCTCACACTCCCCGTGTCCCACAGCCAGATGGGGCTGAGCTGGGCTCTGAGCCCAAGCCTATCTCGTTCCGAACTCTGTCCTCTTTCATAGGTGCCGCCTGTCTCTCATTCTACGGCTCAGTCAGCTTCACCAGCCACCAAGGCCCCTGGGCACATGGCCAGAGGAGCAATCACACATTGTCTTCCAAAACCTAGATCCACACACAGATGTCTAGGGGCCTTTATAAATGTTCTATACAGTTCTAGCCACCCCAGCGGGACAGGCCATGTGAGGGAGCTTTTCTATGAACGTGGTAAAGTGTTCATGCATATTTTTACTGGGCCTGCTTTCCTGGCCCATTCTTAAAACAGGTTGTTAGGAATTTCCACACGTTTCCAGCATCTCTAGCCCTCGCATCTTTCTCCACACATGCAGCACTCAGACATTTCCATGGGACTAGTCAGCTTTCCTGGCAAATAGTACGTGGAAAGCCGGGTCTTTCGTGTTCCCCTAGAGGAACAAGCACACATCTTGACTCCTCTTCATCTACCGACGGCCCATCCCTCTCCCAGGCCTCAGTCCTGCTGCTCTCAGTCTTCCTTCTCCTGGAGCCAAATCCTGTGAGGACTTCTTACCACCCACCTCCTGCTCTGGGCAGCAGCAGACAGGAGGCCCTCCTGCAGAGAGCCATGCTTCAGCCCGAGTCCTTGGGGTTCAAGGGTGAGGTCATAGCCTACTGGTCCACCAACATCTTTGTCTCATCTCTCGCCTGTTTGCTCTCTTGTAAACACCACCCATGACAAGAGTCTGACGAGGAGGCTTTGGGGCCCCACTGGTTTTCAAAAGAGTCTCTTTGCTTTGGTTCAGGACAATCGTTCATTTTTCCATTCATTCAACAAATATTACTGAGCACCTGCTGTGTATCTAGGCACTGGGCTTCAGCAGTCAACAGAGCACAGGCACTGACATTCCAGCTGGGTAAGACAGACCATAAACGTGTATATATAATAGATCAGGTGGCAACAAATGCTATGGAGAAAAAAAACCCAGCAGGAACCGGCGAGGGCAGGGAGGGTTGCTGGGGAGCTGTCACCGGGCAGTTGTGGAGTTCTGTTTTCACTGAGAGGCAGCATGGTGTAGAGAAGGATCCACCTTTGGAACCAAATCCTGAATTGACTTTAGCTATGTGGCCCTGGGCAGGAGTCCCCGGTTGGTACAAACTGTTAACGTGCTCAGCTGCTAACCAAAATGTTGGAGGTTCAAGTCCACCCAGAGGCAGCTTGACAGGAAGGCCTGGTGATCTACTTCTGAAAAATCAGCCACTGAAAACCCTAAAAACACAGTTCTACTCTGACACACATGTTGTCCCCATGAGTTGGAACTGACGTTACAGCAGCTGGTTTTTATGTGGCCCTGGGCAAGTTGTTCAGCCTCTTTGAACCTCAGTCTTCCCATTTGTGAAGAGCAAATAGCAGCCTTTATCACATGGATTGATATGAGGGGTCCAGCAGTAGTGTTTGCTGAGCACCTGCCCCGACTGGGTGCCAATGGCAATGAGGAGGAGCCGAGCACATCCCGCCAGCCATCCTGACAGCAGGGCCTGTTGTCAAGAGGTCTCTGTCCCACCAAAGCACGTGTGCTGGTCCTTGGACTCCAGTAGTCTCATCTGGGTTTGCTGAGCTTTATCCCGAGGCCAGACAAATGGTGTTGCCAACCCTGAGACAGCCTCCACCACTCCCCACCCAAAGCCTCCCAGCCCCATCCAGGCAAAGAGCTGAAGAGCTCCAGTCCTGCCCACCTGCATCAGGGCTGGTGCCAGGTAGGCTCATCTGTGTGTGCTTCTTGCAGGGGTCTCCCCAGCCAGGCCTTCGAGTACATCCTGTACAACAAGGGCATCATGGGTGAAGACACCTACCCCTACAAGGGCCTGGTAATTCTGAGCAGCTTCGGCTCCGTCTTGGTCTGCAAATCTCCCCATCTCCACTCCTACCCATGGCCTCCTCCCCGCTTCCCTTGAGCTTCTAGACTGCCCCTACTGCCAGGACTCTCAGAATTGTCTGCACTCTTCAAACTCATTCCTACCCCTCCTCTGATTGCCTGAGCCCACTGCTCTCCCCAAATCCAGGGTCCTCTTATCGCCATCACCCCTCCTTACCCTTTCTGTGGTACCATCACTCGCTCCTTCCTGAGATGCCCTTCTCCTCAAGGCCTCTCCCACACCTCAGATATCCTGCTCTGTTTTCTCCTGGCTCCTCCCCGTCCTGCAAGTGTACACTAGAGCACCATCCTCTGGCTTCTTCCCTTCTTGCGAAACACAGTAGTGCGTCCATGTAGTCAGTCTCTCATCTTGACGACACTCTCCTGAGCCCCATACCTACTAACCATGCCAAGGGCCTGACCTGCTGTCATTTCATCCCAGCCTGTCTGCAGCCAAGCTCCTCATCTTTCCCCTACCTGTGTGGTTCTGCCTGGATTTCTTTCAGTATGAGCACCACCAGACTCAAAACCCCTTGGTCACCCTATTCCCTTGACCCAGACCCTCACTTCATTCAGCTTCTGACCATCATAGATCTTCTCACATCTACTCCTTTGGTCCATCCCGTATCCCTGTCCCCATTCACATCCTGCCTCCCTTCACCCTGGATCACTGAGGGTGGCCTTCCCTTGGGCCACCCTCCACATGGGCTACCAGAGTAGCCTCTGAAACCCAGCTCTGACCACACCCCTGCTTTGTTCTGAACTCTTCAAAGGATCCTCAGGGCCTGCAAGATGAAGTCCAAACTCTTTGGCCTGCACTTCAAGGCCCTTCCCACCCAAACCAGCCTTTCCAGTCTTATCTCCTTGTACTGTCCCCCTCATAAACTTTATGCTCCAGCCGATCCACTTGCTGGTTCCTAAACACCCAGTCCTGCTTCTCACAGGTCCTCTCTCTTGTCATCCTCGGCCTTCTCCCTGCTCCTGTCACAGAAGGGCTTGCATGCCCCTCTGTGTGGCCCTGTCTGTGCCTGCCTCTTTTCAGCTTTGTTCCCTATACTGAGAATCCCCTCCCTCTCCCCTGTCATGCCAGCTCTTACCCAGCCTCCATTTCTCAGCAAGTTGTCCTAGGTTAGGCCCCTTCCCATGTTCCCATTGAGTTCTCTGCTCACTTCTGTCAAAGCCAGCAGCAGGACTGTCTCCTGCCACTTGACTGTGAGCTCTTTAAAGACAAGGATGCCTCTAAGTCTCCCTTCAGTGACCCCATCACCCAGCCCAGGCTTGGTACCTGTAGTGTTTCCTCAGTAAATGTTAGCAGGCTGCATGGGCAGGCCTAAAGCCTCAGCCTGGGCCAAGCAGCCCTAACCTGAACTCCATGCCCTTTGCCACCCTGAACAGGATGGTGTCTGCAAGTTCCAACCCAAGAAGGCCATTGCTTTTGTCAAGGATGTGGTCAACATCACACTTGTGAGTACCATACCCTTCTCTCAAATGCGGAATGTGTTCTGATAAGGAGGCCAGTCTCCTCAGCAGTCAGATAGCCAATGGGCCAGGCAGGGCAGCCCTTCCTGGCAGCACATCACTTCGATATAAAAGGTTTTGATTATCACTGAGTATCAATCACCATGAGGGCAGCATGGTGGATGATGGGAGGGAAAAAGCATGGGACTGGCAATCAGATGCTCTGGTTCTGACTCCAGTTCCATGCCAGATTTCATTTTTGTGTTTCCGTTTTCATGTCTATAACATGCAAGTAATAATCCCCATCCCATGTGGGTAATGTCAGCATGTATGTGTACAGATGTGTATAAGAGATTGAGGAAGAGTGTGAATGTGTATCAGTCAGGGTGAACTAGGTTATGCTGCAGTAACAAATAGCCCCAAAATCTGAATGGCTTAAAACAGTCAAGGTTTATGTTTCATTCATGCTGCATGTCCCTCAGCTTAGCCAGGGCTGTGCTGTATGTCCTCTGCCTCACTCTAGGACCCAGGCAGGAGTCCCTGGTTGGCTCAAACAGTTAAACGCTCAACTACTAGCCTAAAGGTTGACAGTTCGAACCCACCCAGAAGCACCTCAAAAGACAGGCCTGGTGATCTGCTTCCTAAAAGTCACAGCCTTGAAGACCCTCAGGAGTAGTACTCTGCACACATGGGGTTGCCATGAGTCAGAATCAACTCAGTGGTAACTAACAACAACAGGACTCAGGCAGAAGATAAATTACGTCCTGGCTGTTAAAGCCCAAACAAGTGACAGAGTCATACCTAACTGCAAGTAGATGGGGAAGTGCAGTCCTGCCTGTTCCTCCGAGAGCTGGAACGTTTGTGAACAGCCCTCATGACTCCTGCGTGCAAGTATGGGAGGATGTGTGTGGAAGGAGAACATCTCCATGGGTATGTGTAGGTGTGATGTGTGCAGATGAGCACATGAGGCCGAGCCTGTGTGTGCCCACAAGTGTATGTGCAAATCACAAACATGATGTGTATGTAAATAACCAAACCGAAGCCCGTTGCCGTCGAGTTGACTCTGACTCATAGTGACCCTACAGGACAGAGTAGAACTGCCCCATAGGGTTTCCAAGGAGCAGCTGGTGGATTCGAACTGCTGACCTTTTGGTTAACAGCCTGAGCCCTTAACCACTGCTTAACTGCTGTAGTTACATTTAATTGACACATGTTTAAGTTGATGGAGTGATTATAGGTGCTACCTAACAATTTAACATGCCTCATCTCCTCTAGACTCAAAATAATCCTATAAGTGTCGTTATTAACCTTCATTTTATAATAAGGAAACAGGCTCAGAGTGGTTAAGTAACTTGCCTACGGCCACAGAGCTAGGAAGTGGAAGCTAGGATTTAGACTGAGATCATGTCATTCCAGAACAAGGGCTCATTGCCCCAACAATATACAACCTACAACCTGTAATAGGGATATTACTTACTGCGAATTTATCTTCAGAAAATAGCCAATTTTCTTTCAGACACACCCACCAAGGGCTAGCCTGCTCTGAGAGGGAATCGGGCTCAGAGGTATCCCTTTTGCCTGGTCCCCAGAGAGCCTTGTGGGTGGCACCTATAGGCCCCTGGAGAGCAGGCCAGCACTGGCGCTCAGCCCTCTTTGGCCAGGCTGAGGGCTCAGCCAGGACCCCGGGACAGCCATGGGAATGGTGCCAGCTGCACAGCAGTGCCCACCCCCTTGGTGGACAGGCCTTTCTTGTCCCAGAGCTGACCCGACCCCTCTGGGCCTCGCACACATGGAAGGGAGCCACTTGTCTGCAGGTCAGCTGTTCGCCGTTTGCATCTGGGTCTCTGTCCACCACTCCAGAGAACCAGTACTGAGAAGGGCTGGGTGCCCAGCACCCCCCAGCACTTCCCTTCCCTCAGCAGAAACCTGGCCTCGGCTCACAGACCCTCCAGCCTCATTTCAGCTCTTCAAGGTCTCCAGCCAGGGGAATGGCTTCATTAGCTCACACTAAGCCCATTGTTCCCAACTGGGAAGTGTTAAAAAGTACTACTGCCTCTGACCCACCCTGTAGATTCTGACATAATTGGTCTGGGATGCAGCCTGGGCATCAGGATTTTTTAAAGCCTTCTTGGTGGTTTTAACATGCAGCCAGGGTTGAGAAGAGCTGTTCTCACCTGATCATTGCAGCCCAGTCCCAAAGCTGCAGCCTCCAGGAAGCCTCCTTGATTTCCTCCCATGTGCCTTCCCCAGCTGAAAGGGACAGATGCTACTCAGAAGGCACATAGCCCTTTGCCAGATGTCTTAGTTACCTAGTGCTGTTGTAACACAAATACCACAGCAAGTGGCTTTAAAGAACAGAAATTTATTTCTGAGAGTTCTGGAGGCTGAAAGTCCAAATCAGGGTCTTAGCCATGTTGATTCCTTCCTTGTCGGTAGCCCCAGGCGTTTCTTTGTTCCTTGGCTTCCCTTGGCTTGGAGATGATCCTCACATGGCATCTGTCTTCTCCAGGATGAGTGTGGCTGTGTGCGTGTGTGTGTGTATGTGTGAGACACTGTGTGTGTGTGGGTGTGTGATCTGTACTGTTTATAACTCACAAGTAATTAGATTTAGAACCTACCCTACTCAGGTATGATTTAATTGACATAGCAAAACCCTGTGTCCAAACAGGATTACTCGTAGGTATAGGGGTTAGGATTCCAACATACATTTGGGGGGGACACAGTTCAGTCCATAACACTGGGTCCTCTCTTGTTTCCACCACACTCTGGATCTTGTTTATTCATGCACTTATAACCCTCGTGTTCTCCCAAAAAAGCTCCGTAGAACGGCTTTATGGGTGCAGGGACTCCTGGGGGTTCCTCCAAGCACCTGGCCCATGAGAGGACCTCAGTGAATGATTGTGAGTGACTGAATGAGCACCCCACAGTCTCTATCCAAAGGGTGCAGGGCTTCCAAGGAGCAGAGTGGGGGTGGCGGAAGGTAGATGTCCAAACAGAACCAGCCCAGGCAGGGGAGAGAGGTTACAGGGGAGCAGTCTGGTTTGGGAGGAGGGGCTTACAAGGTAAATATAAACAGAGGGTCCTGCCTATTCAGGCACGAGAGGGTGAGGCCTCCCTCAATAGTGCCCTCCTCCCAATGCCCAGCTTCAGCTGCAGAGGTGGGTGCAGCCTGCCTCCTAGTGGCTGCTGTTTGGTCTTAAACCATCTTCTTGCCTCTCTTCCTGCTGGATGGACATCTCCACTGCTTCGGGCCTCTATCCCCCACCTTGGGACAAAGGGCTATATTTTGAAAGTGGGGTGACGATGTGACAGAGGCCATGCGTGTCCATCCATCGATCCCTCTGTCCACAGAACGACGAGGAGGGGATGGTGGAGGCTGTGGCACTGTACAACCCCGTGAGCTTTGCCTTCGAGGTGACAGACCATTTCATGAGCTACAGCAAGGGCATCTACTCCAGGTGAGCCGAGATCCCAGGAGCTAGGAGGGAGGGGGGCAGGGGGGCTGCCTGAACCTGCCTACAGCTGGAGCATGGGACACAGGCTCTGCCCAGACTGCTGGTCACACCATTTCTTGACACCTACCACATGTTGGACACTTCACACGTTCCCTCAGTTAGTCCTGGAACACCCCTGGAGGTCAGGACCCATGGGCTCCATCTTACACAGGAGGAGAGAGACGGTCAACGTGACAGACCAAAGCTGCGTGACTATCAGGGTAGGGCCGGGGCTCTGTCTTCCTCAACAGAAGAGCTGCCTCCAATTAAGTAAACCCAAGTCCCAAAACTTGAAAATGTGAAATAGAAAAGAGAAAGCAGCTCCTCTCAGACACGAGAACCATTTGCTGATTCACCACAGGTATCTTCAGAAAAACTAAACTCCCTGGCACTTGCCACTCCCTGCCCTCTCCCCAGAGTTCCCTTCATGGTCTCTTCATCTTCTAGCCACCCCTGAAGTCCTGGTGCTCTCCAGGGCTTTGTCCTCAGCCCTCTTCCCTTTTCTCACTGATAGACTCTCTTCCTGGTCCATCACAGCCATTCCTTAAACTCCGTGGTCAAAATCTTGCTGAGAACTTCCAAGTCTCCATCTGCCAGCCTGGTTTCTACCAAGTGTTAAACCAAAAAAAAACCAAACCTGTTGCTGTCGAGTCAATTTCAACTCATAGTGACCTTATGGGACAGAGAAGAACTGCCTGCCCTATAGGGTTTCCAAGGAGCAGCTGGTGGATTCAAACTGCCAACCTTTTGGTTAGCAGCCACAGCTCTTAAGCACTGTGACATTAGGGCACCTGCCAAGTATTAGACTTATAGAGCCAAGGGCCCCACTGACATCTCAACCTGGGTGACCCATAGGAACTGCAAATCCCACACGAATCCTCCCCCAGCCCCAGGCCTTCCTCTCCCAGGTCCCGTCCTGGCTAGTGGAGTCCCTAGCTGCTGCACAAGAGAAAGACCAGAGCCATACTGAAAACCTGCCTTCCCCAAGTCACCCAGACACTGTCCCATTCACACTGCTCAAATCTGTGCTCTCCTCTCCCTCTCCATGCCTCTGCCCTTGGCCACCATCATCCTCTCTGGTTTGTCCACACCCACCCCCACCATCAGTCCACCCTCCACTAGGAACCAGAGTCGTCACCTGAAACATTCCTCTTGACACACCACCTTTAAATACTCCAGTGTCTCCCCATCACCCCAACAGGATGAAAGCCCAGTGTCTTAGCTTGGCTGGGAGGACCCTCATGGTCTGGTCCTTCTTGTTTCTCCAAGGTCATCACCCATCAAAACCTACCCATCCCCACCCAACCCACCCTGCAGCCACCATCCCAGCCGTACAGAAGAGTTTGTGGTTTCATGCTTGTACGCCTGCCTTCTCAGAGAAGCTTTCCTTGACCCCACCCTGTCCCCAACCCTACTGGGTGGGAGCCCCCTCCCTTTACCCTCCCCTCGAGCAGAAGAACTGGAAGATCTAAATTCTCTCACATTCTGGCTAAGCAATCGTTGACTCCCGGAAGTGAATGCCTCCCAGGCTGTCCTTGGGAAAACGCTGCTCTAAAGCCAAGGAGAACCATGTTGAGTGTAAGTGAGTCATTGCCTTTATCCTGCCCATATTTTCAACCTTTTTGTATTTTTGTTTTTCAGTACATCCTGCCATAAAACTCCAGATAAAGTGAACCATGCAGTACTGGCTGTTGGGTACGGAGAAGAAAATGGGGTCCCCTATTGGATTGTGAAAAATTCTTGGGGTCCCTACTGGGGAATGAATGGGTAAGCAACTTCCAGGTCCCATAAGCCTGGGGGTATAGGGTGGTTGCTCAAGTCTGGAGGACATCTTTTTTGCCTCAAAAGTACAGCTTCCAGGGGACATGGAGGGAGCTGGTCAGCCGAGCCCTAGCCTAAACCACTGGGGAGGGAGAGCCTGAGAATGTAACCTCCACACCCTCAAAGACCCCTCTTAGCAACCCCTCCCCTTTCCTGGACCTTAGAGCTTAACAGTTCTGCACTGAGAACAGGAGTCCATTTGGCTCATTAAGATCTGTCATCACTGCTAGAAAAACAGCTCACACACAGGCTCTGCTGGGACTGAGCCAACCTCTGGCAGGGTCCATGTCTGAGAAATCAAGACGACAAGTTTATCAGTGATACATGACAACACCTCCTTTAAGGAGAAAGGGGCTGGAAGTGAGGGACCATGGGGCACATCCTAATGTGTCTTTGACCGTCTCTTCTCTCAGATCTGCATCCTCACGCGAAAAGGAGAGTGTTAATTGTTACCTCAATTAATGATTTGTGATGAATAAATAACTACCTGAGCACCGCCCTAGCTACGGCCAAGAAGGGGGAGGGGGGACCTCAGTAAATTCTGGAGAGAAGTAGGGGTATGGATAGAATAAGAGAGAGAGTTAATTTGGCAGCCAAGGAGAGGGAAGGATAAATTATTTGCAAAGTCAGATCAGTAATTTCCTGGTGAAAAGCCCCAACACTACTGTGTTATGAATAAATTCAGAGTGCACAATCCCCAGAGTTAGACCTTGGTGAGCAGCAAAACCTACCAGAAAGGTCTGTGGTTAGGGAGCCACCAGCTGACCTTAGCTCCCTCTCTCTGCTCAGGTACTTCCTCATCGAGCGAGGGAAGAACATGTGTGGTCTGGCCGCCTGTGCCTCCTACCCCATCCCTCTGGTGTGAGCAGGGACGGCAGCAGCAGCAGCAACTGTTGGTGGTGAAGGGGAGGACCAGGCAGCCAGGGCCATTCCGTGAAAATGCTGCCTTGGAGGAAGTGGTGGGGAGACCCACCCAGGGGCCCGCCACCTTCCCTCCTCACCGCTGTGCCAGGCCTGGGATCCCAAAGCAAACCAGGAAGAAGAATTCCACCAAACAACAAGCTCATCTGAATCTCCTGGTGCAAAGATGAGTACCAGCCAGTTGCCTTCAACCTGGTTTTCAGCTGATCCAAACCCATATGATAGTGCTCTCTTCCCAGGGGCTACTTTTCACGTTTGGAGAGAGTTCCCATGACTGGTGCAGACTGTTTTTGCTGTGTTCTTTACTCAATAAACATTCAGTGAGTATCTCCTGGACCAGGCCTGTGCTGCGTGCTGGGACCCAGAGGAGACTCAGACCTGGGCCTGCCCTCGGGGGCTCACGGTCTTCCAAGAGGGAGGCTCCGAGGGGTTGCCTGGGTCTCTGGCTGGGACGATGGTGTGGGTGTGGGTGTCACTGCCAGATGGGATACCCAGGAGGAGGAGCAGGTTTAATTTGAGATTCTAACCGTTTGCCCCAAATCTGGGTGAAGAGGTGGGGAAGGGAGGAAGAAATGTACCAGGCTTCTGCATAGTCAGGATTCAAACTCACAACACAGGCCTAGGAGCCTGTATTTCTCCACGAGGCCTCTCCAGACTCAGCTTCCTGCTCTGACTCAAACTCTGGCCCTCTGCCCGGGGCTGGCCCCATCCCTTAGCTCCCCAGCCCCTTCCTTTAAAGGTGCCGAATGCTTCTGTCATCTGCACACCATCTCTTCCCTTTTGAGGGATCTTGGTCTCCATCTAGAGGGCAGGGATGAAGTTGCTGTTTCCTGAGGCCTCTTGAGTTCTGGGGAGCAGTATCTATAGAACAAGTCTGAAGTCTGCGCTTGGTCCGTAATCGGAAAACCTTTCATGTCATGTGGGCCTGGAGAGCTAAAGGCCTGGGAATATTTGAAAAAACAATTTTATTTTGATGACAAGGCTTATTTAGAAAATGTAAGTGTGGTTTTATCTATTAAGATAACTATAAGTAAGACAAAGAACAATGATCTTAATAGAGACTTAACCACATTGGATGAAAGTCATTGCCTATTCTAGGTTGTTTAAAACCTAACATGAAATGAGGAGCCCTGGTGGCTCAGTGGGTAAGAGCTCAGCTGCTAACCAAAAGGTCTGCAGTTCAAATCCACCAGCCGCTCCTTGGAAACCCTACGGGACAGTTCTGCTCTGTCCTATAGGGTCACTATGAGCTGGAATCGACTTGACAGCAATAGGTTTTTAACATGAAATGAAAACGTAATTCCTTAATATGATAACGACTCCCAAGTCAGTGGTCACTGGTGCAAAAGCGGTTCCATTAGAGGCAGGTATGTGACAAACAGTCCCGAGAGCATAGGCCTCGCCACTGCAATAAAGGAATGGTGGTTGTTTGCCATTGAGTCTGTTCTGACTCATAGCGACCCTACTCAGCAGAGTAGAACTTCCCCATAGGATTTCCGAGGCTGTAATCGTTACGGGAGCAGATTGTCAGGTCTTTTCTCCCATGGAGCAGCTCATGAATTTGAACTGCCAAGCTTTCGGTTAGCAGCCAAGTGCTTAACTGTTGTGCCACTAGGCCTCCTTGATAAAGGAATTAACCAAATTAATATTAGTAGGCAGTATGATAATATGACTAAAAAGATTCAAGAGAATCCAGGGGAAAGCTTCGAACTAATAAGAGTTCAGAAAATGGTTACTGGATATAACCACAAAAAACAAAAAGACTTCAATAAAACTCAGAAGAAAAATAAACTACAGCAATAAAAGTAGTAAATAGAAATAACTACCAAAAAAGAAAAAAGTGTTATAGGAAGAAAATTATTAAATTATTAAAAACTATAAAGGAAGACTTGAATAAATTGAGACTTACACCATATTCTTGAATGGGAAGAGTTGATTCTTGCCAAAAATAAAAATAAGCATTTGGTACATTTCCAATTAAAATCCCAATAAAATAGTTTAATACTTTCTATTTACCTGGGGGGAAAAGACCAACATGGTTAAGAAAATGTTATGAGTAATGAGGATGGGTTCTTTAATAAAATGTCAACACTTAAACTAGTGTGCCAGTTAGGAATAGATAGATTAATCAAGAAATCAGTGCATTTATCACTCAGAGTCTAGAACATGAGAATTCAACAAAAAAAGCAGCAGACTGACAAATCAATTTTTACTATTTGGACAGCTATTTGGAAAAACCATTTAACCTAAATCTTCACCCAGCACTATGTCATTTTTTTTAAGTAAACCTTTTCTTTTAGAACAGTTAGAATCATAGGAGTCCCTAGGTGGTGAAAATGGTTAACACACTCGTCTGCTAACCAAAAGGTTGGAGGTTTGTGTCTACTCAGAGGCTCCGAAGAAAGGCCTGGCAAAATATTTCCAAAAAACCAGCCATTGAAAACCCTATGAAGCACAGTTCTCTGACACACATGGGGTCACATGAGCTGAGGTTGACTTGAAGGCAACCAGTTACTGGTTAAATTTATAGAATTATCATGAAGATAGAGCTAAGATACAGAGAGTTCTTATATGGCCCACACCCAGTTTCCCTATTATTAACGTCTTACAGTAGTATGGTACATTTTTTACAACAAAGAAATACTGATACATCATTATTAACCATATTCTAATTAGATCATTCATTCTAAAAGAAAGATTCTGGATGCGATTTCACAGAAATTCCGACTGCCATGAAAAAGCAAACGTCCTCCTGGGAAGATTCACATGCTTAGCATGGATTGTGGACTTGGGCTAGGACTTGGAAGCAGGCATCTTCCTTCTCCACAGGCACCCAAATGTCTGCTACCATCAGATCCAGAAGGTCATAATGAGTCTCCTGTAAAAGGAGCCTCAAAGGCCAATTCCTTCCTTTCCATTCGCTTGCCAAACATCTACCACGTGTCAGCTGTGTGCAGTTCTCCCCTGTGCCAGGCACCAGAGAGCACAAGGGTGTTCTTGGCCATCTAGTGTGGGCATGGCTATTGTGAAATGGTCCATGCCTTGGTGCTGTTCAGATTTAAAGAAAGCAGCAAAACAAAAACCATCGAGTCAATTCTGACTCATAGTAACCCTATAGGACAGAGTAGAACTTCCGTAGAGGGTTTTCAAGGCTGTAAATCTTTACGGAAGTTCTCCCATGGAGCGGCTGGTGGGTTCAAACTGCCGACCTTTCGGTTAGCAGCTGAGCTTTTAACCACTGCGCCACCAGGGCTCCTCAAAGACAGCAGCAGGCAGGGCTATCTATCCAACTGGACGAACTAATTTCAAATGCGCCTGAACCCTTAGGCTCCAGAACAGTGCCTGGTACAGAGCAGGTGCTGCCTAATTAGGCCCAGTTATCATTTCTTGAGTCCTTCCATTAAAGGCCTGTGCTGAACTCTAGGGATCTGAGCTTCATGGGACACATTTTTGGCCCCAGGAGCTCCCGCTCTGAGAGGAAAGACAGCAAAGTTTTTTTTTAAAAAAAAAAAAAAAGAAGAAGAAGAGAACAGTTAAAGTTCATGGGTAAAACAGAAAAAACTATAGACCAATATCCTTTATAAGTATAAACACAAAAATTCCCAACAAAATAATAGTGTAGTGGCCATCTCAGATACTCCACTGGTCTCGCCCTGTCTGGAGCAAGGGAGAATGAAGAAAACCAAAGACACAAGGGAAAGCTTAGTCCAAAGGACTAATGGACCACAACTACCACGGCCTCCTCCTGAGTCCAGCACAACTAGATGGTGCCTGGCTACCACCACAACTGCTCTGACAGGGATCACAATGGAGGGTCCAAGGACAGAGCTGGAAAAAAATGTAGAACAAAATTCTAACTAAAAAAAAAAAAAGACCAGACTTACTGGCCTGACAGAGACTGGAGAAATCCCGAGAGTATGACCCCCGGACACCGTATTAGCTCAGTAATGAAGTCACTCCTGAGGTTCACCCTTCAGCCAAAGATAGAAGGCCCACAAAACAAAATGTGACTAAATGGGCACTCCAGCCCAGGGGTAAGGACTAGAAGGCAGGAGGGGACAGGAAAGCTGGTAATGGGGAACCCCAGGTTAGAGAAGTGGAGAGTGTTGACACGTCGTGGGGTTGGCAACCAATGTCACAAAACAGTATGTGTAGTAATTGTTTAATGAGAAATTAGTTTGCGCTGTAAACCTTCATCTAAAGTACAATTAGAGACTCCGGCAAGATGGCGGTCTAGGCAGAAGCACCACGCCGTCCCTCCACAACAAAGATCCGAAAAACTAAGCCAAACAGAGAATCAACAATCCTGAA